TGACTCAAACTGTGAGGTTCTTGGGTGTAAATGTTTTTTGCCTGTCTCAGGAAAAAAAAAAAAAGCAGAAACAAAGCACAGACAAAAAGCAAATTTAGGGGAGGAAGAGGCAGGTGGATCTCTGTGAGTTTGAGACCACCCTGGTCTACAAGAGCTAGTTCCAGGACAGCCTCCAAAGCCACAGAGAAACCCTGTCTCAAAAAGCCAACAAAACAAAACAAAACAAAACAAAAAACCAAAAACCAAATAAACAAAAAGCAAATTTAGAGCCAGGGAATGTGGCTCAGTGATAGAGCGCTTGCCTAGCATGCATGAGTTCTTGAGTTCAATCCTCAGAATGCAACACACACACACACACACACACACACACACACACACACACAGAGAGAGAGAGAGAGAGAGAGAGAGAGATTTGACTACTTGAAAACTACTTGTGGTTTTGTAAATCCAAAGGCTGTGACTTCTGAGGTTAGGCTATGACCAGTAATTCTGCTCCTGTCAGTCACTGTGATCTAAAGCACTGCTGCCCCAAGATTCTGCAATTCTAAAATGACTGGTTTTTTTTTTTTTTTTTTTCAGGGATCCGACAGACACTTGTCAGAATGCCGCACTGCAATCCAGTGTGTCACTAATATAGTGACTATAATGCAGATAATGTAAGTGGGCTGAACGTCTTCTCAGTGCAGTTCTGGCCTATTGATTAGTAGGCTTGAGAGCATTCTTGGCTCTTAGGACATAAACCACAGACAGACTCATACTCAATAAACCATGTGCCACTCCATTAAAGGATTGGCTGTTTTTAGCATCACAAACTCAAACTTTCACTCATTTCACTTGTTCTAGTTCACTCACTTGTTTACTACTTAATGAGAAGAGAGATTAAATGGAGTAACAAAACCAGATATTAAATGAGAAAAACAAGACCATCTGATTTTATCTTAATCCCTTTGGTATTCACATGGTGTTTGCATTTAGAGCCAATATTCTGGTCCCTGCACAAAAGTGATACTCCTGTGTGGTGAACTCATCGAGTCTTTTGATTATTTCTATGTAAAAGTAGCTTACTCTCCTCAGCAGTGAATGACCTATATTGCTTTCAATTAGATGAGTTCATAGTTCTATCCCAAATTATATCTGCTACCATATTTCTACCTCAGCAGAAAAGTACATATTATCACTATGTTTATTATGTTTACTTAATTAAAAAATTATATTCATTTGTGGTTTGTGTGCAGCATATATGTGTGTGTATATGTGTGTGTAAGTGTGCATGTGTGTGCATGTGTCCCATGCTGCAAGGGGTCCCTGAAGGTGTCAGACAGGGAAGCAAACTGCAAGAAGAGTTTCAAATGAAAACCCGGTGCAGATTGACTTTGTCAACCCGAATCAGACTTCAGGGAGTCTAGTAACAGGTGATTTATTCCCAATGTATTTAAACCCAGTATAATTTGGGGGAAAGGTTTCCAGACTTCAGTCCAATTCCAGGCGCACGATAAAGCTGAAGGTGTGACTACATAGAGACGCCTTTACAAAGCACATGTGACTGACCGTGAGGATGGGATCTGTAGGTAAAAAGGGCTAAAATCTAGCGTGGTCTCTGACCGATAGCATAGAGGTCAGCAGGCCACAGAGTACATGTGACATCTCTTCTAAGGATGGGTGCTGGCCTAGGGAGGGAAGAGTCTGGGATGATCAGTCTGAGGAATTTGGGTGAGATCTGTCACTTCCTAGAGCAAAAAGGTTACCAGATTGTTATCAAAATCCACTCTCAGCTTTCTGGATGGAATGCAGGAAGGTATTTGATTTTTATCTCCTCCATTGAGAAGGCGCCCTGTGTGATGGACACTCCTGATTCTCTTAGTGCTTCTCTGTGAGCACAAGGTCCTCTGTGCCTGACACCATGCTGGGGCATGTGTGTAGTTGGGGGGCAGGGGGATGACGACATGACATTGGCTTTGTGTTTGTGTTACATAAAGTGGTTTGGAACATAGGCTTGGAATGGCTGATTTATCAACTAAAGGCATGTTCACAGGTACCTTGTTTGCTATCTCTAGGAATTAGCTAACCCTGGAGGGGCAATTTGTCCCCATGTCCCCAAGGGCCAAGATATCAAATGTTTGGACTGTGTGACTGCTAATGTAGGAAATAAATGTGATTTTTGTTATGTAAGAGAAACATGAGGGACACTAAGGACAACAATTCCATTCATACAATGTTTACAGAGACCAGCACAGAGAAAAAAGGGCAGATGGATGTAAACTTCCCTGGTTTCTTATTTCCACTACTAGTGAGAATTGTGCTATTTTAAATATGATAGGCACAATGATGCATACCTGTAACCTTAGTACTTGGAAGCCTGAGGCAGGAGACTCCTGAGTTGAGTGCCAGTCTAGGCTGCATAACAAGACGTTGTTTCAAAAATATGGTAGGATATTATAAATGAAGGGAAGGCACATATTATTTAAAGTTATCCCTAACAACTCTAATACACTTTGATCATTTTCTTTTATCTACAGCAGGGTGACTTCTCAATAACCCATGATAGATAGAAAACATTAATTGCCCTACAAGATATCATAGTTTAATCCAGTCTGCCTCAAATATCCTCAGAACACACTAACCTATGGTTGAGCAAAATCTTCTAACACAAAGTCTGTTTTATAACATAACATCAAATACCTCAGGTTATTTATTGAATACTTGAAAATAAAATCAGAATGGTTATGTGAATAAGCTGTATACCATTGTAAAGTAAAAGATTTAAGTGGGACCACTGTAAATTGGGAAGCAGCTGTGTATAAGATCTGGATACATGCAGGAAATTGCCAATAGTGACAGCACAAGCCTAGGGCATCTTGAGTTAGCTTCTGGTCCTGTTATGTCAACAGCACATTATTCATAATTGTTTTTAAAGATAAGGTCTTGCTATGTAACTCAGTCTGGCCTCAAACCTGAGATCCTCTTGCCTTAGTTTCCCCATTGCCGGGATTCTAGGCATGTGCCACCATGCTTGTCATTACTGGAACTTTTAAAGTAGCTGCCTAGAATAAATAGTTTTAAAGTGACTAGCACTGGTTGTTAAAGGGAGAGAGAAAAAAAGTAAAGAATGTGGTGTAAATACTTCAAATATTCATCTAACCCAAGTATTTTTGGCAAGAAAAAACAAGTGAGTTGCTTAGCATATGTAAAGTTCTAGTCCATATTTAGAAGGCTACTGCTTAAATGTAGTGAATTATGTAAATACGTTAACAAATTATTTCATTCAAAACTACAAAAGAACGCAAAAGATGAAACGCACGCTTCTCTTCCTGTGTACACACTGCCGACAAACTCCACTACCCCAGGAACGCCCTTCTACAGTGGTAGGTTCTGCAGCACACCTCACAACAATCCCCCTCAACCTGTATCCATGTGTGAGTAGTGCCACCAACCCTCGCACCAAGCAACCATGACCTTTCCTTGTTTTCTTCAGGCACTGACCTCTGATAACACTTGGGACTAGAACCCTCATGTGGGAGGGTGGCTGTCAAAAAACTAACTGGTGTAGGGGAAAGGGGCTGCCAAAGAAACACACCCTGAGCAGAGCCAAAGAAACATACTTTGTCCCTGGAATCAGAGCCAGTGAAAGAAGTACACCCTGGCCCTAAAACTAGAGCCAAAAGGCTTTAGTGAAAGAAACTCACTTTGGCCCTGAAACCAGAGTCAAATCTGACCCTAAACCTGTACAGAAAACCAACCAATCACTGAGCAGATCTAGCCATCTTTAGCTCACTGGAAAAACTCCACCCCCTAAGAATCCCTATATAAACCCTGTGTCTGTTTAGCTTATGGCTGTCTGGCTGCCTCCTTCCACCCTGGCAGAGGCAGCCACTCTCCTGGATTCTTCCCTTCCAATAAATAAATTGAATGAGGTTTGGGTGAAGGCATTCTTTTGTGGCGGAGCAGAGACGACTCTAGGCTGAGCAGAGCAGGGCTGTAACACTTTTCGCCTGGGAAACCTTCCAAGGGCAGAGTAGAGTTGTTGCTGTCCACTCTCCACTCTCAGGGGGAGCAGAGCCGGGGAAGCCTCTCCTACCATAGCAGAGCTGTTACATCGGGAAGCCTGGAAAGCCAGTTCCTGGAACTGGGGAAGCACTTTACTGCGGGAGCGGATACACTGGGAAAACTTTCCCAGCTGGGGAAACCCTCTCCTGCCTGAGCAGAGCTGATGCACTGGGGAAGCCTTCCCTGAAGCAGGGCTGTAAGCTGCTATGCTTACTGTGACCTGTGGTATTCCTTGGCTCCAGAGCTCCAGGATACCTTTCCAACGGAGCTGTGTCAGTATTCTGTGACTTCCTAGAATTCCTGAGACAGAATACCTGTCTCATCCGATCCGCCCCAAATGCTTACAACTGGAATACTCTAATTTCCTCTTAGGAACCTAAACTAAGAGCCAATGACAGTAAAGAAAGCTGGAAGATGCTGGAAAAGACTTTAAGACTATGCTACCCATGTGTAAATCCAAGCTCCCACCCCACCTGAACCCATACCCCACCCAAAAGACTACAAATAGTTTGTAACTCAGCACACAGTTAAACATTCGGGCTAGTGCTTGTGTTTTAGTTTCTTCTGTTGTTTTCAAAGACAAAAAAATAAAAATAAATAACCTATCAGTGAAAAGGCTATAACAAAAGCAGATTTAATGAGGATCGGAGTGGATAGTATGTAACCGTTTTAAAGTCCCCAAAGATGTTTTTAAATTTTATACATTTAGAGGGCCGCATGAATACAGTCCAGTTAGTACAAACGCACGCTGTCTCTTCACTGAAGTTCAAGTTTCTAAGTACTTTTCCCAGCGTAGGCCACAGGCTGAGGGAGAACTTCCAGCCGACTCACCCAGGGATTCCGTGCAGGGTGGTGACTCTGGTCCAAAGCTGTGACTTCATCGATTGCTTCTGCCTGAGCAGCCTCAGGCCCGCAGGGATCGACTGCTCGGGTCTGGCGGGTCAGGCGCGGGAAAGCGAGTTTGAAGGTGGGTCCGGTGAGGCGGTGGCGGGCGCGGCCTCCTCGTCCTCTGACGCTGCGGCGAGCAGCCATGTCGGAGGCGTATTTCCCCGTGGAGTCGGGCGCTCTGGGACCCGAGGAGAACTTCCTGTCTTTGGATGACATCCTAATGTCCCGGGAGAAGCTGCCGGTGCGCGTGGAGACGCCCATGCCGCGCCTGGGCGCCTTCTTCCTGGAGCGAGGCGCGGGCGCCGAGTCGGACTACGCGCTCCCTCAGGTGAGGCGAGCCTCCCGCCACCAGAGAATTTACTTTAAAACTTTCCAAAGTTACTGGCTTTCCGATCGCTGAAGGATTGGCACCGCCCGAGCATCTCAGGGTCTTAGTGCTGTTCCTGTTTTCCATAAAAGTTACTTGAGGTTTGTGAAACTGCAAATTGCCTTGTGCATTCTGTCAGCCGCCTGTTTGTTTCCAAGGGCCGGTTAACCGGGGTGGGCGGAAGCTGGGGATGGTGGGATGAAGGTGGGTGTGACTTCACTGTGTGTAACTTAACATACATCCTCTCACGTAGGCAACTTAACAAAGATTGAGTGGCTTGGTCCGGGTCCCGCAGAAGTCCATGGTGGCTTACCCAAGCCAGTCCTCGGTAAAAGGTTGCCCATGGAGTTTTCATGGTTCGGAATGAATGTGGCAGCTCCTTGTATTAGCCCCTGTGCCCTCCCGTAAACCTAACAAAGGCTGGGTAGCAAGGCCAGGGTCCTCCAATAAGTGGTAAACTGGGATTCGAACTCAGGGCTCTATGGCTTCAAATAGGAGATTTCTTATCATTTCTGGCCCCTCATCTCATCCTGTCATGTTGTTTTCCAGTTCTCTTAAGGCTTTGAAAACGTAGACATTGACCCTTTCTGCCATCTCTGTAGCCATGATGTGGCTTGGGAAGGGACTGCCACCCGATTTCAGATTGATTCCATTTTGTTCTCTTCTGCCAGCATCCAGATTGGTACTTACATACCATAGATGGAGAGCATTCAAAGTAAAAAAAAAAAAAAAAAACCAAACTATATTTTCTTTAGAAAACTTCCACTTCTGTTCTATTTTTGTTCTTTGTCATGTTTTTGTTGCTGTTGTTATGATCTATTTTATGTTTTCATTGCATCATAACATGAAACCTCAGCCTAAGCTGATCTCATGAATTGAGAGTAGCGCAGTGCCTGAGGCTGGACAGTGGGGGCAAGTGGAACGTGCTTAGCAGGCATTACTTTAGTGTTAGAATTAAGGAGTTCCAGAGTGCTGCTGAGTAGTAGAGTGACTGTAGATTGCAGTGAGGCACTTGCAGTTTTGAAAAACTAAAGAAAGGATTTTGAATGTTTTCACTCTAAAGAAATGATGTTTAATGGGCTAGAGAGATGGCTCAGCGGTTAAGAGCACTGACCATTCTTCCAGAGGTCCTGAGTTCAATTCCCAGCAACCACATGGTGGCTCACAACCACCTTGAATGAGATCTGGTACCCTCTGCTGGCACACAGGCAGAAGACTGAATACATAATAAATAAATAAAATCTTAAAAAAGAAAGAAAGAAAGAAAGAAAGAAAGAAAGAAAGAAAGAAAGAAAGAAAGAAAAGGAAAGGAAATGATGTTTGAGCCCGGCAGTGGCTCATGCCTTTAATCTCAGCACATGGGAGGCAGAGGCAGGCGGATCTCTGTGAGTTTGAGACCAACCTGGTTTACAAAGCTACACAGAGAAACCCTGTCTCAAATCAAAAAGAAAAAAGAAATGTTTGAGGTGGATGGTTAACCTGATTTAAACATTACACAATATGAATGTGTATTGCAGCAGCATCTAGTATCCTATAAATATACCATTTTAACATGCCAGTTAAGAATATGTAAATAAGGGCTGTAGATGTGGCTGGGTGAATAAAGTTCTTGCTGCATTAGCATGAATATCTGAGTCTAAATTCACAACAGCCACATAAAAAGCCAGGCATGACTGTGTCTCTCAGTCCTTCAGTGGCAGGAGGTTGACTGGTGCATCCCTAGAGCCCACTGACCAACAAGTTTGACTGAAATAGGTAGTGTCAGGTCAGCAAGAGAGCTGTCTCAAAATTAAGATGAAGAAGTGATCAAGGGCCCGGCGTTGGTGGCGCACGCCTTTAATCCCAGCACTCGGGAGGCAGAGGCAGGCAGATCTCTGTGAGTTCGAGGCCAGCCTGGTCTCCAGAGTGAGTGCCAGGATAGGCTCCAAAGCTACACAGAGAAACCCTGTCTCGAAAAACAAGAAAAAAAAAAAAAAAATGAAATTTTTAAAAACAATAAGGAAATAAACACAAGTGGGAAAGAAAAATCTTGGAAAATACAAAAAAA